TTGACAATAAAGCTAATAGGGTTAATGCCTACATGTTAATGCCAACTACCTAGATTGAGCATCTTGAACAGAAGCAAAAGATTACTATAATGCCTACATAAAGCATATAAGGCAACATCCATTAGAAAGAGAACAAGAGTTTTCCTAAAATGGCATTAGATCGACAACAACAATCACAAATGATGATGCCAATGAAGAACTCAGGGTTAATCGGCTATAACAGGAGTCCCATGATCGGTGATGATGAAGAGGAATTGTCGAAATCAGCATTGTTGGCTTTTAGGGTTAAAGAAGAAGAGATCAAGAAGAAGAAAATGGAGGTTAGGGAGAAGGTTCATGCTCAGTTAGGACGTGTTGAAGAAGAAACCAAAAAGTTGGCTGAAATCCGTGAAGTACGTATAATTTTCTTCATTGTGTGCATGTTTATTTTGGAAATAATAAAATTGTGAAACATGTTCTTGACAGACTTTACTTGATTCATCAAGTTTACATAAAATTATAGTTATGATCAATTATATGGAGATAGTGGTTTTCTTATAACCCATGTTAGAATAGAAGTTTCAAGTTGGAATTGTGCCTTCTTTGATTGAAAAACTTAATTCCCATTTCTAATTTTTTTTAAAGTTAATAATTTATAAAAGAAAATGTGAGAATAAATAGGAGCTTGAAGGACTGGAAGATCCAAGGAGGAAGGAGGTGACAAGCGTTCGTAAGAAGATTGATTTGGTCAACAAAGAGTTAAAGCCATTGGGACTAAGCTGCCATAAGAAGGTGAAACATGCATCATGATCGTTTTTACTTTCTTAATTAATTCTTTATTTGGTTTACACTTTTCCTTAATTAATTATTAAATCAATTATATTGTTTTATTCATGCTTGTTAAATATATTATTAAAATTGAAATCAAATCACCAGGAGAAAGAATACAGAGAAGCTTTAGAAGCTTTCAATGAAAAAACCAAGGAGAAAGCTCAACTGGTAGCAAGATTGATGGAGGTGGTACATGCTTCTTTTTTCTAATAATCGCTTTTAATTCTCTGAAAAAGGCCACAAAATATTTAATTTTTTTTTGTGCTTGATTGTATATGCAGTTGGTGACTGAAAGTGAAAGAGTGAGGATGAAGAAACTTGAAGAATTGAGCAATAACATTGAATCCTTGGGTCAACTAAGATGATCAACAAAACAATCAAGTGTTTTGTTATAATTACTAATGCTTATATAACTCCTGATTTTACTTTGTGGTATTTTGATGATTTTTACTTCTATTTTGGGTGTGTTTGTCATTAAGCACTTGTTAAATGAATTAGCTCTATCTTGGGTGTTGTTTGTCATTAAACACTTGTTAAATGAAGCTTTCATGCATTTAAATTTTGTGCCCGCAATGGGACGTTTTTTTTCCCTTAATTTTCAATTTTCCATGTATTTGATTTATATGTATTATCTTAACATAAGTGTGTATTTGAATACATGCATACATGTTTAGTAGTGTACTTCATGTTCAACATCTCGGTGCGGTATTCATCACCTGAGAAAATGAACAATGGTGAAACACCTCGCAACCATCGTGGGTGATCCTGATATAAGAGATGACCAAACCACCTGATGAGTCAACTAATAAAATGACAAAATGAACGTGGAATAAAATTATAAGAACAATTACATAAAATACAAATTAAGTACTTTAATTGATAGATCATACAATTACAAGGCTCAAATATTTACAAAGAAACATCTAACTATAAAAAATGTAATTACATACTCTCACTTACTTACATACTCTCATTGTTGGAACTAGGGATCAATAATATCATTAACTAATTGGTAATATTCATATTTTAATAAATGAATAATTTTAATCATTCTTTTGTTAAATGTCATTTTAATAACTTCTCATTAATATTATGTCATGTATCATGTAGATATATTAGGCAATTTATTTCAAAATTCAAATTTACATTTTCTAATTATATGTTAAATTTGAAGTTATAATAACTTTAAAATTTTGATATATCTCTTAAATAATAATTTATTTAAAATGATTTATTTAAAATAATCGATTAATAATTATAAACTTTTATTATAAAAGTTTAATTAGTTTTATAACTCGTGGTGCTCACGGGTTATAAACTAATTTATAATAATAGAGTCATTTTGGATTTACCAATAAGGAAATGAAAAAAATAAGTTATTAGTTTATTATTAATTAATAAATTAGTAGAAAACTATTTTGTAATTAATTATATAATTTTAATTAATTAACATGCTACAATATTAATTAGTTCTAAAGATTAATTGAAATATTCCAGAAGCCTCTTGGAGATAGATATGGATGAAATCTAGGATATTTATCATTGCATGTTAGGTTTTGATAATTTGATAACGATAATGATTATTCTTGGGAATCTAATCAACTTAAAGATTCAAGTTGCCCCTATAAATAGGGAGATAAGGATTAAACCCTTTGATCTTTTTTTAGTCTCTAAATTTTGTTCCGTTATCTTTATATTTTCATAAAGTTAGAAATTTATAACCTTTTCTCCTAGGTTATAGTAATTTCGAAATTCCCTTCATAAAGACATTTCTGGTTTGGGTCCTTGTTGTCCTTGCAATTGTTCTTGTCACAAGATCTCAATCGAGATTTGAAGACAACAAAAGGTTAGTAATTCTATATTTTGTTTAAATTCAAAGTAGGTTGCTATAACTATTAAAACTTAGATCCTAGGGTGCATGTACACATAAAGCTTATTTTGATTATTCAGATGTGTAGATCTAATGTGTATAGAATGCCATAATTCCTAACAATGATATCAGAGCTAATAGGTTTTTGATATTAAAATTATAAAATCAAAAACCGAATTCTTGAAAGATGCAATACGCCCTTCCTCTGGTGCAGCATGCACTGTTGGTTTTGATTTTTATTTTTCGTATATGTTTCTTGATCGCAGGTTTCCTAGTTTGTGTAATAAGAAACGAAAATATGGTAAATTTAGAATTTTGATAATTCATGTTAATTTAAAATATTATTTAAATAAGATTTAAATTAGAATATTTAAAATACATTTGACTAACCACTTAAATTAAATATTATTAGAATAAGCTTTAAATTATAAAATTTAATTAAAACTTCAAATATTATTTAATATATAATTAAATTTAAATATTTAAAATAATAAACCATAAATTTAAAAGGTTTAATTTTATATATGATATGTAATGATGTGTTTGGTTCGGCCCACTAGATCGATATGGGCCCAATCACAATAGATCGATACATAAACAAAAAAAGAGAAATTGTTCAAAATAATCGAGTCACAACACTAAGCAGTAAAACAACCTAGCTGTCTTTACCCAAGTAATGCAAGTTACTGGATAAAACCTTGCACTAAGAAATACTGCGATGCCCATAAAATCTAATAAATACCATTTTATGCATCATTTAGGGTAGTTTTTATTAGCATTCAACATCATAATTTCTACATTTGCATGTCATTAGTTTAAATGATGTTCATCTCATGTCATTCATTAGAATTCCAATATTGCTCATGTTTTTATGTTTCTTTTAGATAATTTGAGTGGAATAGTACTTTGGGAGTAGCTTTGAATGCGTTTGATGGATCATTAGAGTGAAAATGGAGCTTGAAACTTATTAGGGATTATGAGGAATGCTTGTAATATGTTTTGGTTAAGAAATATTTGATTGAATTGATTATACAAAGATATATTGCTACATTCTAAATCTAAAAGGATGTTGCTGCCATCTTTGACCCCCTATCAGTACTTGACCATATCTCATGACTCGTAACTCTGATTTTCGAGATTCAAAATGTTCAAGAAACTAGACAAAATTTCGGACGACTTTCGTGTTTGTGAAAAAAGGAGAATGTAACAACCCGTTATTTCAAACCTATGTAATAGTGTAGGTCAATTTGTACTTCTTTTTAAATTAATAAAGAGAAATTTTAGCATACTGTGTATATTTACATAATTGACCCTCAAAAATAAATTATTAAATAATCTCAATTTGGATGAACCAAGTGATAGAGATTGTAACAAGGTTTCCAAAAATATAAAGAACACTAAAATCCGAGTTATAACGAAGAAGTTATGACCAATCAAAAATCCGCGACAAAACCGGCAAAACACTGTTCAGTGTAAAAACTGAATTTTTAATAAAAGACTTTTTAGCCTTAACAATCTAAATGAAAGTTTTAGTTTATTTTAAACCGAGAACTTTCATAAAAAGAATGCCAAAATCTGACTTCGTATGAGGAAGTTATGATTTTTCTAAATTTAAGTATAACAGTGTACAACAAAAAACTCGAAATAAAGATCGGGTGGTTTTTAGCCGATAAAACCTAAACGAGAATCGAAGGTCTCGTCATTAGTAGTACAACGGTAAAAAGACAGAAAAAAACGGATGTCGGATGAATAAGTTATGAATTTTTAATGGATTTTCCTGTCTTGGTCTGTTAAAAATAATAATATTACAAATAAAGTCAAAATTAGCCGACGAAGTCTGAACGAAAGTCGTAGAGTATAACTTTACCTATGCGTGCATATAAAGAACGTCAAAAACGGAGTTCATATGCGAAAGTTATGAATTTTACAAGTTTTTGGCACAAAAATAAAAAAAAAGTAGGAAAAATTCAGGAATTTTCGCATGAACAGTAATGCCACGTCACCCTCGCATGCGAGCTTCCACGTGGCGGCTGCTGATTGGACCGAAGCCATACGTGGCACCTCCTGGTAGGACCGCAGCCGAGGTCCACTTAGAAGCGGACAACTTCGCATAGGACGCCCCCCGCACGCCACCCTGCACGCCCCTCGCACACCCCTCCCCTTCGCACGTGCCCTCTTCCCATTGGACCGAACTCTGGTCCAATCCGAGCTAGCCAGCAGCGAGCCTCCGGTCCGAAGAAGCTCCCTTCCCTTCGCCACCTGTCTGACACGCGGCAGCCTCGCATGGCCTCGGATCCGAGGCTTCGCCCTATATAAGGCATGCGAGGGTTCCGGCCATTTTTACACTTTTCACCCTAAATTTCACCCTCTTTCATATTTTCCACTTCCATAAGCTCATATACAACCCCTAAAGCCCCGGTATCAAGTCTCAAACCCTAAGCAAGCCTCGAAGCCCCGAGATTCCCGAGAAGTAACCTCTCTCCTGTCAAAACTTTGTCCAATTCACCATCTATTAAGTGAGTTCATACCCTCGTATTTTCATAATTTCTATTGTTTTAGGGGGGGGGGGGGGGAATACAAGTATAACACAAGAACTTTGTGTTATAAATAAATGATTTCAAATCACGATAAAACTATTTTAAAGCATCAGAAATACTCCGAATATTGAACTCTTTTATAAACTTATATTTTTCCCAAATATTCATATTTGTATACATATATTAATATAAATAAGATTTAAAAGGCTTAGGACTAATAACTAATTCTAGGTCCTTTTCCTTGTTTGGATGTGGACTTATAGTATTGGTTATTTGTCCGAAGGTTGTTTAAATTTTACTTATATATAAAATTGTATATGTATATAAATATAAAAGTTATTTCTTCAGTTTAATTATCCTTTGTAACATGTTGAGCAAAGTATTACAAGCAAAAATAGTTATTTACCAATTCATAAAGTACATATAAATTATAATAGGTATAATTTATGATACATAGAACAATTATTCATGATTCAGGCATACTAGAATACATTGTTTTACATGAAACAAGGGTTTTGATTCAAAACAAAACAAGGATTTACACTTGTCAAATACATGTTCAGAATACTAATTCAAGAGCATACTGTCAATTATTTATTTCAGAATGATTGGGTTTTCATATCTAATATATATGTAACGTTAATATGCTTTTTATGAGACATTTAATTCAGGTTGTTTAATTCATCTTAGACAACCAAGGTAAAGTCCTGACAGTATAATCAGAATTTCCAGTCCGGGGATTGAAACAAGTTGTGTGTAGATCTATATCGGGATTGACAACCCCGTACTCAGGCTGCTAGCTACAGTCAGGCATACATGCCAATGAGTGGCAATTGTTATGAACAGTTTAAGCGCTCTCAAGGCGTTTGTTTCAGGCGTGCATGTCTTAGTATGGTTATAATAACTCATTAAAAAGATATTAACAACACGTTAGTGTATAAACAACGACTAAACGTAAGTACATCTTTAAAGTACCATTTTACAAAATACAAAGTACAATGGTATACTATAGTTTTCAATAACAGCTGGTGAAGCCAGGCACACTCTCAGTTACACGTTTTACAAATACAGAACATTGGTTTACAAAATAGAACGGTTTTATGGGAATAAAACTACTTTTCATATATGACAGAAAATATGGGATTTTCTGGAATAGTTTTCATAATCAAAAT